CTCGATCCTGGGACTCCAGGATCATGACCCGAGCCGAAGGTAGTCGCTTAACCAACTGAGCCACCCAGGCGCCCTAAAATAAATAAATCTTAAAAAAAAAATACAGTCTAATTATTGGGTGCTTGCTCTAAGGTCTGAAGTTGAAACCATATAAAAAGAATGGATCCTTCTCCCTTCACCAGTCAACTCCTTTTCCTTTTCTTCATTGATAGTAATTATGTAAATAAAATTCATTCTTTTTCTTTTTTTTGGTAATTTCTTTTTAAAAAGATTTTATTTATTTATTTGAGAGAGAGAGAGAGAGAACACAGAGGGAGAGTGACAGGGAGAAGCAGACTCGCCACTGAGCAGGGAGTCCGATGTGGGACTCTATCCCAGGACCCTGAGATCATGACCTGAGCTGAAGGCAGACACTTAATCAACTGAGCCACCCTGGCACCCCAATAAAATACATTCTTGATATCTTATCTACTGTTTTATATAGCTGCCTTTTTTTGTTTGTTTTTTTCCAAAGTGTTATAATTAGAAACTAATGCAGTAAAGCTACTGATTGGAGCCAGTCAGCTCATAGGATGTAGCAGGGTTGGAATGTTTCAAATTCTGGGCCCCAGTTTTTCTGGATCACAACCTTGGTTTTCTTAATATACCTGTAGGTGATCATCTCCTTAGGAATTAGCTCAGATTAACTAAACTACTAGAGTGCTCAGAATATGTCAGTTTTAGTTATAGTCAAAACCATCATTGCTATATATTTTTTCTTTGTAAACTACCTCAGAAATACATATATATTATGGAAACTAAAAACTGTCTAGTAAACTCTGCATTCCTGTAGCCTGGGCCGTGTATTTTCATTCCATCGAAAAATTGGCATGAGCAGTTAAAATGGGATTGAAGGATTGCCTGGTGATTGTGGAATTAAGTTGGATGGTTGTAGTAGCTGATTCCGTCCTGACTCTGATAATAAGATTCATTCATCTCCACCAAAGTGAGGGAGACTTGTTCCGGTTCTCCAGATTCTGTTTGAGACACATTTCCCAATTTCATCTCTCTGAAGTTCCCTTGTCATAGATGTATGCAGACTTTGTCTGTCTGTTAATGTTCTTGACATTTCTACAAACCTCAAGTTACTGTACATTACATTTTGATTCTGCTAATTAGGTTGTCACAGTTTTAACTCTAACCTCAGTTTCCTGGGTACCTTGCTGTCAACTCTGTTCTGCCTCTAAAGTTTTTCGGCTAGGTAAGAGGATAAGTAACCCAAACTATAGTGATGAATCTCCTCAAAGTATACCAAAGAAAGTGGAAGTGCTTGGCTATAAATGGCCAGAAAACCTTGGACTACTTATGGTCTGTGCCTTTGCACTGAGTCTTTATTTATGGCAAAAATGTAGCAATTCCTACTAGTTATTAATTGGAATGCTTAAGCCTGTATTATTCTGCCAGTCAGGAAAGACATTCCAGCATCCTGGAAGAGTACTTAAATGTCTCCTAGGACTGAAAACATATTTGGTAGGCTTGGTACCTGAGCTTACTATTGGGAAACAATTAGCTTTTAAATTTTATGTTTTCTACAGTCTTTTGAGTTTTTTTTTTTTTCCATTTACTCTTAAAGTTCTTATGTCCATATCTTGTCTCCAGTAATTTTAAGCTTAAATTTAAAACGTTTCAAGTGAAGTTTTCTTTAAAAAGAGAAACATTTAAAAATACTTGTTGGGTAAATGAGTTGCTTATACTCTTGTTTTATAAAAAATATATATATACTAAATATCCACATTTTGTTTGTATGAGGCTCATTGCATTATCACTGCAGGGTATTGTCATTTTAGGAACCATTATTATATCAGATACTGATAGCCAATATAAATGTAATAGAACTTTTACTTCTCTAAGAGCTATGGTTTGTATATGTCCCCTAATTTTTTATTTCTTTTTATTGTAGGAGCCTATGGAGTTGTACTTAAATGCAGACACAAGGCAAGTACATGGTTTTTAAAAAGAAAATAATGTGTATGTTTAACTGTTTAGAAACTAATGTATTGTTCTGTGCATGTGGGCATATAATTAAAACTGGCTACGATAATGATGCTTAATGAAGTAGAATGAACATGTGAACCTAGAAAAAGACTACTTTTGGACAAGCTTTATCATGATTAGGTAGTCATTAGTTATTTGCAGTCATATGCTGTTTTTTCTCAACTGCCCTAGTGTATAGGTGAAAAGCTTCCTAATGGGAAGAGAGAAAAGGTGATACAGAAGAAATCAAGGTAGTGAGAGATTTATGTTCAAGTACTTATGAGCAAGAAGACGTTTCATTCAGTCATTATTTTTCACGTAGACCCAATAACTTACAGTGCTTGGTAGATCTGAATCCAGATTTCGAAAGGTAGCAGATAGGTGTTTGGTTATGAAATAGGGCTTCAGATAATTGTGTATGATTATCATTATTGGTTGTAGTTGATCACCCTTGAGTAGTCTTGAAATGGATCTTACTATATAGATTATTTACTATACTATATAGTATAGATTATTTGACTGTTATCACCAATTATTCAGGGAAGTTATTTCAGGATTCCCATAGCTGTTGCTCAGTGATAAGCATGTTTTACTCAGAGACTAAGGTGGCAAGTGTTGCAGCTGTAACAATTTTAAATGTTAGGTTAAATATTTTCATGTTATGGTATACCTAGTCTGAGTATTAGTATCTGGCCTCATGCTATTTTGTGTATAATTTTGTTAAGACCAAAGATTAAAGTTTTTTGTGATATTTTCTAATGGAATTATTTATATCTGAGATGAGTTTAAAAATTTAGCTCAAGACATAATTTAAACTCTCAAATCTATCATAACATATGTATGTGTATATATGCATAAATAAAGAAGATACCGTTTTTATGTTTTTTCTTTCCTGTTGTACAAAATAGTATGTTTTGGATATAAGGCTTCATGACAGTTGATGTATTTTTGGGTTTTAGATCATAAATCTCTTCAATTAATTTTCTATTCTTAAAATTGGGTGTTCAAAGTATCTATGTTGGTAATAGTTACCTGAAGATCTCTGCCAGTAAATCCTCAAAAAATGGTTTGAATACTGTGGTTATTGATTTAGGATGATTAAGAATTTAAAATAATAAATTAAACATAATCAAAATAAATTTAGCACCTTGAATACCTCATTAAGGAATATTACTGCAGTTGGAAATTAAACAAATGAAAAGCTCTCTAATGAATTGCTACACTGTTAATGAGTTGCCTTGAGTTATAATACATTTCTGAAGCTTTAAAAAAATAAAATTCCTTGGTGGATACTACTCAGGGGAAATAGGTTGTAAATTTGACTCTTTAAATAAACATAATACTTCCTTTTATACCATGGCTCTGTTTATGTAGCATAATAAATGGACGCTTCAGTTCTTAATCTTAATCTTTGAGTTTTAAAATTGAAAGATTTCTGATACATAATGCAAATCTTCTAACAGTGTTTTCTCTCAGTCTTGTCCCACTTCTTCCTATGACTGTTTCCCCTATACTTTTTTTTTGACCTTATCTAAGCTCTCTTTGTGCCTTTTATGTAAAAATAAACTTTACTAGTTGAATATATTGTTTTTATCTTTCCCTGTGTCTGGTTTATTCGTGTATGAAGATATGTTTGTTACCTGTACCTGGTTCTCATAATGCACACTGTTAATCCCAGCAAGATGGACCCATAATGAAAGTAGATGAGAACAGGTTATCTCTGCTCTTGGGAAACCATCTCTAAACATGAACTCAGATTCCTAGGGCAGTTTGAGTTAAAAGGACGAATAAACCATAGTTTTCTTGCTCTTGTCTGGCTTACAGTCTGAAGAGGTAGAAGAGATACTTGATAAAATAACCCATGAGGTTGCTGCAAATGACATTGCATCTAAAAAATATCTCTTTTCACTGCCCTTCACTAAATAAAGGACTCACAGACCAGCTCTCCAAGTATTGTTGCTTTTTCCTTTACATGCATCTAAAAAGATATTGCTGGATGGAAAATGTAAAGCTAAATTAGTGCCTACCTCAGAGTAATATAAAACTCTTTTTAGAATCTGAAACTGTTTAGTCATTAGACTTGTTAGAGATATATCCTCTTTTCAGCTAGAATCAGAGCTTCAGTCTTTTCCGCATTATCCAAAAAGAGAGAATTTGATGCTTCTAAGATTTACCCTTTGGGATCAAACAAATGGACTACTATGAAATCTCATGTTATATTTAAAAATGGATATAATCCTCCCTGTTGTACCCATGATATGTAAAATAATCATACCTATATATTTTGAATAGCTTTTATTTATTATTATTTTTTAAGATTTTATTTATTTATTTGACAGAGAGAGACACAGCGAGAGAAGGAACACAAGCAGGGGGAGTGGGAGAGGGAGAAGCAAGCTTCCCACAGAACAGGGAGCCCGATGTAGGGCTCGATCCCAGGACCCTGGGATCATGACTTGAGCCGAAGGCAGACGCTTAATGACTGAGCCACCCAGGTGCCCCTTGAATAGCTTTTAAAGACTTAATGAAACGCTTATAAAAATGTTTAAATCAGGTCTGTATGATTACGTATGCGTAGGTACGTGTGATCACTTATGCATCAATTTGATCTCTTTTGGATAAGGTTAGCTGTGGGTGTATATATAATTAAATAATTCCTAGCGCATTATATATTTGAGCAAGTATGAAAGAAAGTTATTGTTTTAAATCATATACTGTTGCAAGAAATTTAGAGGTCATGTTTATAAACAAATGTATCTTGTCTATTGTGAACACAAAGTGGTATTGGGTTATTCTAGGCCAAAGACCATACTTATTAATTTTCTGAAACAAATGCTGAACAATTAAAAAAGAAATACATAACTGTACTCTCTTTTTCACAGCTTCTGTTTATTGTATATATGCACATTGGCATATATATGAAAATTCTTAGTAGTAAGTGTTAAGCTACTTACGGCACCTTAGGACTACTCACATTTGGAAGAAGTTCTCATTTGGACCTTTACTCTCCAGATATGCATTGCTGGTTCTCTTTTTATTTGCATGTCTGCTTTGAAGTGCTTATGCTTATTTTACAGCATACTTTTCTTTGCAGAAACTCAGAGAGGTCATCCTTACAACAAAGTAGGGCAAATGGAATGTAGTGACATAGGGAGATGTGATTAGAACTGGAGACAAGGCTTTGTGCAGCCTGATTGAGAGAGGTTGGGGGGCAATGCTAATTGATCCTAGGACAAGGAAGTGGTGATTCATGTATTTCCTTTCCTGTGGCTGAGGTTGACATATGAGAAATTTTTGTTTGTTTTGAAGTGGTAGGTGACATATAGCTAATTACACAAAGGCATGAAGAATCCAGCATTGGGGTAGAGCGTAGAAGTATTTAATACATAATAAAGTTGACTTAAATTATAGAACCAAAAATGAACACCACTGTAGAGAGCTATTGTAGAGTACCAGGTCCCTGTGGAAGGATTAGAGATGATCCCAGGGGTTTGTGCTAAACTGAAAAATCACTGCTATTATTTATATGACTTACAAACTTATAAAGGGTATGTAAGTTTTGGGGGAGAAATAATGAGTTTGGCTTTCATAAAAAAGAATGAAATGGCAGCAGAATACCAAACCTGATAATAAATACCATATATTGAGCATCTAACGTATGCCAGTTAACTCTGCTAGATGTTGTCCATTTACTACTCACAACAGCCCTACTCTTACACTGTTTTACAGATAAGAAAGTGGAGTCATTAGAGAGGTTCTGTGTTAGGGCCAAGATTATGCAGCTAAGAAGTGGTGGAACCAGGCTTCGTCTGATGCCAGAAATCACTAACTTGAGCATAACTGTGAAATGTTATGGACCTTCCAAGGGGGGGTGCAGAGCAGAGTTAAGGGCATGCCTTAAATAGTCGTACTGAAAGGAGTGGGAGGCAGACATCTAGAAAGCAAGGAGGAAAGATTTTTAAAAATGGTACTCACCAACAGTGTAAAAATCCATAAAAAGATCCATGATGATAAGGATTGAGGGATGAGAAAACCCATTTCATTTAATATTGTCATTTATTGATGACCCCTTTAAGTGAAATGGTACATTGAATGCCAAATTGCAGGAGGTTAAGGAGAGAGCAGGTTGAGAAAATCCAGATTGTGCCATTTTTCTCTTTTGAGAGTTGAGAAATTGAGATTGAGAGTAGTAGGAGGAATAGATGTGATTAAATATTCACTAGTCAGGAATACCCATATTTTGCCCCACTAAAAGGCGTTCTTGGGTTATTAATCACTTATTATGCACAATTTGTCTTTTGCTATAAGCGTTCATTTTTAGCATGCATTATATATTTTGAATTACTGATTCCTGTTTTTCTTTTTCAGATTAATTTTGTTTTCTACAAAAAAGCTGAATGGTGATTTGGTCATTCTTAAAAATAAAAAACAACTATTTTAAGCAGATACTTGAGGGAAAAGTCAATGAAGCATCACCAGTTTAACAGATTATTTATAGTGTGCCATCTAAAATCGTAGTTATTTTCTACTAAAAATAAACGTTGTTTCAGCTTTTTTCCACATTATATGAAAGAAGCCTTAAAAATTTTTTTTAGATTTAAGTTTTACAAGTGAATTGAGCTTTTAAAACACAACTTAAAAGAGATGAATCAACAATGGCAAACTGAATATATGGGATTAATTATATTATTTTCTTTGTCATTACTTTCCTCCTTATTTAAATATAAGTAGGATGTGGATTCCTGCTTCTTGTGTACAAAATTTCTACCATTTGAAGAAAATTAGAGGCTTGGGTTTTTAATGAAGATTGTAAGTAGCTGGAAATATTTCAGTATTATTTCACCATAATCATTTTTTTAAGTAATCACACTTTTCTAAATGACTTTAATTTACTGCAGGTTATGGAGATTAACGAGATGCCACTGTTCAACTGGACATTGGGTCAGGAACAAAGATTATAG